ACCCTCTGGTGCCCAAGCCCCTCCAGCACCCCAAATCCCCTCCAATACCCTGTGCCCCTTCCTGTACCCCAAACTCCCTCTGGTACCCCACATCTCCTCCAGTGCCCCCAAGCCCCTGTCCACACCCCAAACTCCCTCCTGTACTCCAGGTCCCCTTTCATGCCCCCTCCAGTGCCCCATACCTCTGCAGTGCCCCAAGCCCCTTCTTGTACCCCAAATCTCCTCCAGTACCCCAGGTCCCCATAGTATTAGCGACTCTCATGTGCTGGTGCAGAGGTATTTCCCTTTAAGGAACAGTCCTGCACTTGGCTACATAATTGGAAGTAGTAACACACTTGTCGCACCCATCTGGTGGTTAAGTCACAGAGGACAACAATCTACTGCTGCTGCCTTCATATGAAGCCACTCCTTAAGGTCAAATGGGCTGTGTCTAGACTGGCCAGTTTTTCTGGAAAATCAGCTGCTTTTCTGGAAAAACTTGCCAGCTGTCTACACTGGCTGCTTGAATTTCCGCAAAAGCACTGACGATCTCATGTAAGATTGTCAGTGTTCTTGCAGAAATACTATGCTGCTCCTGTTCGGGCAAAAGTCCTTTTGCGCAAAAGGGCCAGTATAGACAGCTCAGATTTGTTTTCTGCAAAAAAGCCCCGATCGCGAAAATGGCGATCGGGGCTTTTTTGCGGAAAAGCACGTCTTGATTGGCACGGGCGCTTTTCCGCAAAAAGTGCTTTTGCAGAAAAGCGTCCTGCCAATCTAGACGCTCTGTTCCGAAAATGCTTTTAACGGAAAACTTTTCCGTTAAAAGCATTTCCGGAAAATCATGCCAATCTAGACGTAGCCATGGTGTATATCCCTGCTTTGGTGCGGTTTGGATTTAAACAGGTCTGAAGCAAGGCGAGGGAGATTAATCCTCTTATTTGCATGAATATTCGTTCCCTATTTACCGCTACTTATTGACCTGTACACACCACAAATAGTTACTCCGATTATGGGTTGCTTGCAGGTTGTTCAATTTTGAGCAAGTTGACACACAGCATCCAAGATACTCACAATTAGTCACGTTTGGTTCACTACCAGTTAGCAAAAACAGGGGGAAAAATAGATTACACGAGGAATAAGTCTCTCATGGGTTAACTCTCAACCAACTAGTTAGGAGGGGTTATTAAATAAGCAGCCACGGGCTCTGGTGCTACTTGGCTCTTAAACACCGAGTAAAAACACTGTATGGGGAGCTTAGATCCTCAATGAGCCAGACAACACATTACGTTACAAGACAAAGGTGCAGGTAGCATTACTATGCAGATATTTTTATATTCCTCTCCAGAACGGAGGTGCAACACCAACCCGCCTAGACTGGTGTTCCCTGCAAGATGAATGCTTGGGCAGCTGCCCAGAAGAGATTCAGGTGCCACCCAGCTGGTTGGCAGAGCGCCCACCGCCGGCAGCCTAGGTTTCTACTGGTGGTGCACATGGGCACGTGCCTTGGTGCATATACCAAAATTTATTCTGCACATGGATGGAAAAAATTAGAGGGAACATTGGTCAGCGGAGGAACCGGTTTACAGAGCTTAATACATGAGCCTGTGGGAAGGGATGTGAAAGGCTAACCAGTAACCACATCTGGATCTGTTCCTGTCTGGGGCGGGCCCAAGCACCCCACAGATACCAGCCAGCCCCAGCGCCGCGGCCTGTAGTATGGAGGATGCTCCAGCTGAGCTGGAGCTGTCCCCTCCATGGATCCCACTTAATTGGTTAAATGTTGGGTCAACCTAACGTTTAACAAGGTAACCGATTCATCCCGATTTTACATGCCTAGCCCCTAGTTTTTTTCCTGAACCTCTCCCCTGAAATTTACATACCAAAACTGCAACCTTAATTAATATGCAATTCATATGACAGTGTCTAATGATCCTCAATGAAAAGGTGGGTGAAAGACAGACCCAGAAAACCAGCAAGAAAACGGTGGTTGGAATCACACCCACACGAGAACCGGGGGAGGAAGAGAAAGCAGCAAAATTAAGGGGCTCGGTGACGCTACTTAACTCGTTTCCTTTTATATTCAAGCCCTGCTCTGGTTCCCACCATCCACCTCTCTAGTCTGCTTGGAGAACGCAAAATCCATTATTTATTTTACCACAATCAAAGCTAAACTCCCCCCCACCAGACCGGAATCACCTGTTATTTACGAACCGGGGGAGGAAGAGAAAGCAGCAAAATTAAGGGGCTCGGTGACGCTACTTAACTCGTTTCCTTTTATATTCAAGCCCTGCTCTGGTTCCCACCATCCACCTCTCTAGTCTGCTTGGAGAACGCAAAATCCATTATTTATTTTACCACAATCAAAGCTAAACTCCCCCCCACCAGACCGGAATCACCTGTTATTTACCTGGACAGGTGTCACTCCAGTTGCACAAACTTCAGAGAAGCTGGGCAGGAGCCAGGCCTCTGATTTAGATGCCAGGATATGGGGGGGGGAGAAGGAAACAAACAAGGAGAGAGAAACTTTTTGATTAATTGAGAAACTGCAGCCGTGCCATGTTTGAATAAGATTGCACAAAGGAATGTGGGTCTCCTTTTTTGTGTGTTCATTCAGTTGAAACAGAACGAGCGGCGTTCACGCCAGACAGGGAGGGGAGGAGAGAGAAAGATTCATGGGAACTGGCCCGTGTTCGGGATGGGGAGAAGAGGGTAGCAGCAGTTGGGGGAGGGGGGGGGTCAGCTGCTTTTTTATAAATTAGAGTGATTGCATGTTTATGCAATAGCTGTAGAGCTGCTGGAGTAGCCTAGCTCACCTCAAAAACCTCGTACTCAGAGGGGGGGGAAAAATTCAAAAACCCTGCTCTGCCCCACATGCAAGCCCCATCATAATTTCGCTTATACCCTCTCCTGTCCTGCTGGAATTGTACAGGGATATTTGTGCTCTATAGCTTAAAAAGCCCCCTAAGAAACGTCAATGTCTTATTTCCGGGTTACTGCTCCTTTTAAAACCTGCCCCTTGTTTGCCATCTGTTCCTGAGAACAAGATACCGGCTGCATGTTGCAGAGACTGTAAGGAGATGCCTACTCTGTGCTCCCTTATAGCGGCTTTACTCTTGTTCTTTCTTGCTCCGCTGTTTCCTTTGGTCTAACGTTGAAGAGTCAGACACACAGTTGCTCTTTTGGGAAGAGGGGAAAAGAAACAACAACAGATGGGAGTTGGATACGACCACACTGCCACATTCAAAGCGTGGCAGACCCACGACACTTGGGGGAATGTTGCTTTTTTTTTTTTTTATGAGAGTGTCATGAGATCTCATTGCACAAAACGCAGCTATGAAAACAGACACTCACCAGCTCCTTCATGTCCGTCCGATGCGGCCAGTGCCCAGCCACTGCTCAGAGAGCAAGGGTGGGCAAGAGGCTGCCAGCGGGCCGAATCCGGCCCACCAAGCCACTGGATCTGGCTCACAGCTGCCTTGCTGGGACCCTTAAGCGCAGCTGCAGTCGCTTTGAATATGGCTGCTCTATTCTGGGAGCGAGGAGGGAGGGTCTGTGCTCTGTCACGCCCCTCAGCAAAATCTCTCTGCTCCCATTGGCCAGTTTCCAACCAATAGCAGCTGAGATGTTGCTGGCAGCAGGGGCAGCCAATGAAGCCGCCTCTCCCTCCCACCACCACTCCTTCCCCCTGCCAGAGCAGAGCCACTTGGAGCAGCTTGCGACTGCAGCCTCCAGGTTCCCGCAGGGCTGCCCCCCCCTGCACCCTCTCAGAGCACCTCCCTCAGGCCAGAATCCTCTCCTGCACTCATACCCCCTCCCCGACCCTGCACCCCATTCCCCTGCCCCAATCACAACCCCCTCCTTCACCCAAATACCCTCTCTGACTATTCCCCCTCCTGCACCCAGTCTCCTACCCCAAGCTCCCCTGTCCCAGGCCCCAAACCCCCTTGGTAAAAAGGTGGCCCTTGACCACTTGCCAAAATCTTGGAGTGGCCCCTCATTAAAAATTACCCACCCCTGACATAGTATATTGGCCATTACAGAATGCCACGGATTTGTTTCCAGCATTCCCCCAGGACTTTAGGGATTGCGTATAAATCTACCTTTGTATCTATTTGGACTCTACAAACCCGGGAGCCCATTCAAGACAATGGGAGTCCTTCCATTGACTTGAGGTTTGGGTAACACACCCCTCACCCCAACCCGCCAGCACAGAGCTGTTCTGCCAAAAGTCACAGAACACGGACAAAGTACTTTTTTCTCTTCCTGCGTCCAATCTGTGCTGTCTGCAGGACTTCTGTAAAGAAGCCAAAGTACGAGGAAGGAAGCACGACAGAGAAATGTCTCTCAGGTGATTGAGCAAGTCAATATTTTTGTCCTACCATTTGCGATGGCATCCCCACCACATCCTTGGGGCTAACTTCCCTCACAACGGTCTTATGCTCACACAAAAGAGTCAACCTATCCCTCCCACGTCATCTCTCAATCCTGTGCTAAGTCTTCCATCTCAGGCTCAAGGGGCAACCGCGAAGCTGGAATTCGTCTGCAAAATCTGACCCCCATCAGAAGGGATCCGAATAGAGACATGGAACGGCTCTCGTTACAATGAGTGATTTCCCCTTCAGGTCCTCTCACCTTATTGTTGGAGGTAGGTCACATCCACCCTGAATTAGCACTGAGGTGGCACTCCCACCTCTGTATCCTGCCCCTCCTTTGCTTCAAGCATCTGAGGAAGTGAGCTGTAGCTCATGGAAGCTTATACCCTAATGCAGGTGCTAGTCTTAAGGTGCCCCTACTCCTGTTTGTTTTTACAATATTTAGCTTTGTTTCTACGTCCAGTCAAAGACACCCTGGCTTGCTATGTAGTTGTATCCCTCTCCCCCAAGGAAAAAAAAATTGACCATCAACGGAGCACTATGAAGAGCATGATCAAAGACTATCATGGGGGAAATGCTAATGAAATGAGTCTACCGGCAAAGGGGAAAAAACCAAACCACCAAGGCATGGCATTGCGATCTACTTACGTGTCTTCCCGGCTATCCGATGCCATTTCAGTCTACAATGCCAGCGTGCCAAAAGTCTGACCCGGAGGCTTCATGAAGGACTGTCTGGGAGAAAGCAGGGAATCGGTGTTTGTTATTTGCATATACCCATCGTGCCTCCTTTCAAATCCCACCCCCCCACGCAGCCACTTTCCTCTTTCATGCAGCAAAAGGAGGAAGCGCTCTTCAAACACACGGTGAATCTGGTCACTGCACTGCCCTGCGACAGCATATGGTGACATTCAGGGCACGCCTAATGCTATGCAGAAGAGTGACGCTGCCACGGTCGATCTTCCAAGGTTCGATACAGCAGGTCGATTTAGCGGGTCTAGAACAGACCCACCAGATTGAACTCAGAGGGTGCCCCCATCAGCGCCAGTACTCCTGCTCCTCATGAGTAGAGGAAGCCAAAGAGAACGTTTGCTCCCATCCACCTCATGCCGCGCGGACAGCGCAGAAACACGATGTAAGATACGTAGCTGGAGTTGTGTATCTTTCTTCGACCTTCCTACGTAATGTAGACCAGGCCTCAGTGTCTAGGAGGTGCAACTGAAATCTTTTAAGATGTTATTTCCGACACGTGCACGGATATTGTTCCCTCTTTCAAGTTGTAGAGGGTCATACATTGCCCAGAAAAGGGAAGAACCCTCTCCCTACCGCCTGGAGGACTGACCTGGCATTTCGGCAAAACCTACTTTTGAGGATGAAAAAGGAGATGGGGGAAGGCACTGCTACAAAGATCTCACCATCCTATCAACCACCCCCAAACTCAGACTTCAGGGATCACAAGTGAGCCATCCCCTCTTCCCTAACCAGCATGACTTTCACCAGCCCTTTTGTTGCTGCATCCGTCAACACAAAACCCCAGGGCCCTATTGTATCACACGTGACGGGGGGGGACATTCCCGGAGAAGCCAACAGAAATCATGGATGCTCGGCAACCTCTTTTCCTTTAGCTGCCATAATCTCGCCATTAGATCCCCCCCACGTGGGAAAGTTTTGACCTTGCTCTCCCCTCCCCACCTTTTGTAGAGGTGGAAAAAATGATCCAGGGAGTTTGAGAGGCCTAATTAAGTCAATATTTGCAAGGCTTTAGGCAAATGCCTCCAAGGGCTAGGGTTAAGATCGAGCTTCTTCTACCTGTTCAGCATAGCCACTGCTGAGCAAAGTATTTGGATCAGTGACAGCTTGGCACATCTCTGGCCGTGCACTTGCAGGCACGTATGGTATTAAGAGACCGCATTGCAAGTAAGAGATTCATCCCCACTGCTCAGGAGGGCCTAAGGGAGAGGAAGAGGAGGAAGAAATTCAATCATGGAAGATTTATGCAGCCAAGCTGCTGTTTAGCCAGGTAACCTCCACCGTGCTGCTGGTGAGGTGCTTTGAAGATGGATACGCAAAGTTCAGCAGCAAGGGCTGCCTCACACCTGTTCCTAGAAACCACAATCCACCCCCCTCTGGGCTCAGCTAGTGTTTGGGAACAGTCTCCAAATTACAATCAATTCTCCTTGTAGAATTGCCCCATTTCCACAGCAGAGTATCTCTCCAACGACCACACGCTGCATCAGACTAGCAGCCGCCCTTCAGTACTTTTGCAGGTCTTCAGGAAGGGCAGGGGGAGGAGAAAAAAAAAAAAAAAGAGTAGACAGTGGCCTAATCTCTCTCAGGTCTACAGTTGCTATGTCCTGCCCAGACTCTTCAAAGGAGAGGATCACCAGGCACAGAGCCAGCTCTCCTCATCTGTTGGTACCCATATGGCTTTGCTTAAACCATGCCACCCAGAACTCATCAGGTTTTCATTGCTCTAACCCAGTGGCTCTCAAAGCGTGGTCCACTAGTGGTCTGCAGCTGGCTTACAGGTGGCCCACAGCAAGGAGCCTGCCCGGATTGGCTGGAGGTCCCCAGAAAGGTCTGTAGTGAGTGGGATGGGCCACGGGCCAAGAAGTTTGAGACCCACTGCTCCCCCCGGCACCGCCTCCCCCCCGCTGCTCAGTAGCATTGTCTGCATCTCCCGCACCCCTTCCCCACCAGCACTGGAGTTCAATTATGTCCTCAGAAAGCTGCCGTGCTCCTCCTTTATACCAGCGCAGTTTACAAGAGGAATATTGCAACATGTGGGGTGGTTATTAACAGTGACTACTGTAGCCATTTTGGTTTTTATGAAGTGCAAACGCATGTGATTTTAGGGAACCGGTCACCTAGAGGAGAGAGAGATTCATTCCCTCTCCCCTCTCTAGGCTTGGTGGGGGGAAAAACTGCACAATCATCCTTCAAAATTGCTACGGCCCAGCTGCATTACAAGGCATCTCGAAGAGGAATCCGACACACCAACGAAAGCGTCCCGCTTTACATATGGGGCCATTTCATTTAAGCACATCTCGCATTCATGTGGCCTGCGTGGGAATAGAGAGCGCTTTGTGTACCAACGATCTCTCAACACCCTTTACACATGGAATTTGATCAAATGGGACTTATGATCTTCGCGTTGCTTTGAAATCCACCTCCCGCTCCCCAGCCCCCGCTTCTGCACCCAGCGTTACCGCAGAGGTCAGCCGGGACATGAAAGCGAGAGGAGAGAGACAGAGAAGCTTGGCACGTGGACAGCTCAGCCGTGGGAGGCGGCAGGCACCCGACTGAATGACAGACATTGTCCCCACAGCGCCATGAAGGAAGAGAAGCCGCCAGTGAGAAAGCATTGGCCAGTTTCTGATCTCTAAGATCCTCTCCAACGTCAATGCTCAGAAGAGCTGCACCCAGCACAGATGCAACTATAGCCATGTTGCAAACACACACACACACACACACACACACACACACACACACACCCCTACCCCTCCCTCCATCCCATCATCACCTAGACTAAATTTTCTCCTGAAGTAGGGATGTAAAAATGTAGCCATTTAAATGGGACATGGCTACACAACTCCTGGGGAGCCGCCAGCCACTCCACACTGCTGCCTCTGCATCGGAGGCAGCAGCGCAGGACGGCCGGTGGGAGCCGGTGCATGCTGGGAACTGGCTTGAAAGTCCACTTCCTATACGCATGGGCTCCCAGTGAGCCTGCTGCCACCTCGCATGTAAACCATGTAACCGCTGACGTTTTCAGCAGTTATACGGTTATTCAGGTACACGCATTTTCACATCCCTATCACGAAGTGCATCTCCACGAGTATTTTATGTTCCATTTTTGGAAAGTGTTGGTTTAATAATAGTACTCATGGCAAGGAACCAGTATCTGACCCCTGCAATGGATTTAGCATCTTCTCTCTCCATGCTGCACAGACCTGGGATGCTTCTGCGTTTCTAAGCCCATCACCCCACTCTACCAACGCAAGTCCATTCTGAACAGCCATCATCGGGCCACGTGAATCCAGTGGTTTTGTACCTCGTCCTTCCAGTACGCCACACTCTCAGCTATGGGCTGTCGTCATTGGGCTCGGAGCAGGAATTAACAGAACGAAGTTCTACGCCTTGTGTTATACAGGAGGGCAAACCAGACAATCCAAAGGCCTCTTCTGGCCTGGGGGAGGAACCCCCCACCCCCCACAAACTCACAACTTCAGCTGTTCCTGTCCTGCCCTCCCACCCCAACGGGAGCTCAGTTCCGACTTGCATTCAACGCGGAGTCCTACTTGCCTGATGAAGTGAAAGACCCTCACAACTCTATTATGGGGATAAACATGCAACATGCTGTTTAGAGAAGTGGTTCTAAAA